ATATCCTAACTTATAAGATAGTTACTAATAACCTCACTAAACTACTAATAGTAGAAAAATATTATAATTTTATTAAAATACTAGGTTTATTTAAACTATTTATAACTAATAATAAGTTCTAATCTAAGGATAATATCTTAAAACTTAATCTTAATTAAGTCTTATATATTTATTTATTTCTTTTATATATAATAACTTTATTCTTTTATATCTTATTAACTAATTAACTTTTATAGTTAGACTTTATATTATTTTAATTACCTTAATTTACTTTTTTTAATAGTTAAATTACTAACTATAAAAGTCTCTTATATAAGAAGTTATCTAATAATAAAAGCTTAGAAAGTAATTAAAGATTTTAATTTTACTAAGTTATAAGTTTATTACTAAGTTAAATATTTTAGTTAATATTTACTTATATTAAAACGTAATAATACTAACTACTAAAAGAGATATAAGTTTAAGTTTAATTTACTTAATTTTAATTAAATCTTAAAAGTATAACTTAGAATAAAAATAAAAAGAGAATTAGATTTTATAATATCTTTTAATAATTATCCTAGTTAATTAAGTTTATATAAAATATTAATATATCTTAAAACTAACTCTTATAAAAATCTATAAACTCTACTTATTTTAAGGTATTAAACTTAACTATAGAATATAAAACCTATATTATTTAACTAATATTAAAAAGTTAACTAAACTTAATTATTATAAGTTTAATTTAAATTTAAAACTTTAAAGTTAAGTTATTAGTTTTTTTAATCTAAATTTATATAATTTAAAAGTAGCTAAACTATTAAACTATATAGTTTAAATTTATATTAAAGTTACTTTAAAATTAATAAAAATTCTATATTATAATTAGTATATAACTAAAAGTTAGAAGTTAGAAGTATTTTAGGAGGTAAAATAGGATAATAAAATTAATATAAAAAGGAAGGTATAAAGGAGATAATTAGGAATAAAACTAATAATTATATAATTAATCTAATTACTACTTTAAGATAAGAATAGTTTTATAAAGTATAGGAGGTATTAGTTAAAAAGGGGGTATAAGATAGTAGTTAGCTAGGCCTAAGCTTAAGGCCTAAACCCTAGCCTAAATCCCATCTTTATATAAGGGATCAGCTACACCACTTTATAACTAGGCGCGCCCAGCGCTCGTAGCTAGATTAATCAAGCCACTTCACGCAACACTAAATCCACCATGTCCACATGATTCATGAAGATGATTGGTGCAACTTGCTGGAGAACACATGAAACCTCCACAGTAGAAAGAGACCCGAAGACGGAAGCGAAGCGTGCTGATTCATTGGCAGCAACTTTTTATTCTGACTAGCAAAACTCATGTTCGATCTCCAGCCAGACGTTTGCTCCCCATCACACAGAATGATCCGCTCAGTATTTTTGCAGCCTCTTGATGCGACCGAGCACCACCAAGAGCCAATAAGGAATATGGACAATGGCTTCGAAGCCAAAAAAGGAATAATGTACTAATGAAATGAAGACACAGCCCGATTCGCGCATCCCTGCGCTTAGCAGATGTTCCTCGCGCCGTTGCCGGTGAGCGTCCAGTTGGTGTTCTCACCACAGGGCGACTCGCGGACGGTGGTGCCGTCGACCTTGAGGGTGATCCAGATGTCGCGGTTGTTGGGGAACTCAGAGCGCGCAGCAAGACGAACCTCGCCGCCGCCGTTGACGGTGCCGCCGCGGATGGAGAGGTTGTAGCAGTTCTCGATGAGGATGGCGTTGTTGCCGTTGCTGGCGAGGTCGACGGAGGTGATGACGGCAGCGCCGGACTGCGAGACACAGAAGACGCCACGGCCTCCGCCGCGGGAGACGACCTTGTCGATGTAGACGTTGGTGTTGTAGTTGCCGTTGGGGTTCTGGCCGTTGTTGTTGGCGAAGCGCAGGGTGCCGTACCCGCTGCCGGCGCCGACATTGTTGCCGTCGACGAGGCCGACGCGCGCGTTGGTGGTCTTCTGGAGCAGCAGTCCGGACTCGCCGACGTTGCGGGCGATGACCTGGTCGATGGTCAGGCCGTCAATGTTCCAGGTCTCGACGGCGTGGCTGCCGGCGCCGGTGACGCGGATGACGCCCATCTTGACGTTGGAGTTGGCGGCCAGGTCGCGGTCGAAGCGGATGCCGAGGCCGCCGCTGAGGTTCATTGTAATTGCGCCCAGCGTCAGATCCTTTGTTCCGCTGAAGCGCAAGCCAAAGTACGGGGTGCCCGTCATCGTGAGGTAGGGAATCTGGACGCCCTGGGTGTTTGTGGACTCGATGGCGCCGCGGCCGGAGCGACTGGCGACGTTGATGGTGCCGCAGCCCTCGAAGATCTTGCCGCTCGCGATGGTGATGGTGTTGGCGCCGATGGAGCCCGAGGCAATGACGGAGACGCGCTGGCCCGAGGAGATGGAGTCGAGGGCCGCTTGGATGGCGGCGCGGTAGTCGGAGCCGGTGTAGACGTTGCTTGAGCCCTTGGTGGCCGTGAAGGAGCTTCCGGAGCCGGTGACGCGGGCGTCCGGGGTGCCGGAGCCGCACTGGGCGGTGACGGAGGAGGCGAGCGCCAGCACCGCCGTGAGAATGGAGAACTTGGCCATTGTATTAGTGATTCCGGGCGGCTGAAAGGTAAGGGGGTGTGAAGGATCGTGGGTGATGATCTTTCTGCCCACTTCCGGGGAACGACACGGCGGCTTGTTTATATCATTTTGCGATCTATCTAGTGGAGACGGCGAAGACGCACGATTGTCTTCCCCAAATGCGCACCAGTCTCAGCAGATGCGCCCGTAAGAAGCGCTTTCGTTGGAGGACGAAATTGGGCCGGCCCCTTGAACCGGCAATGCACCCTCCGCATTCATTTACCACGAGCTTGGGCGCGGCTCGGCGCTGCTCACCGTGGGCTCCGGACCACCCGGGGTTGCTCAGGTGTTCACGAGCTGTAGGCCAGTCTAGGGCGCCCAGGTCGGTCGAGTGCTACACGAATGGAACTTTGACAGGGGCAAACAGACAGGTGAGTTGCTAGTTTGTTCTTGGTGGCTTGCTTACTCTAAATTCTTGGCCTTCCTGATTCATGCCTTTGAAACTTCCGTACCTTGGCTCACATGTTGACTCTTGGCATTGCACCAGTTTGGGGGCTTGGCATCGCTCATTGGCGGTGCAGCAGCGCTTGTTTGGCTGTCGTGGTGGTTGATTTCTGGCAGCTCTCTATGCGAATGAAACCCCAGTCCGCCGAATAAAGAGTAAGCTTGTTTTCTTTCTTCTTTTGCAGTCTCCGATTCGTGCCTTTAAATGACGGATGTGGCTTGGCTCTCAAGTTGCCTCGCAGACATCGAGAAACGTGACACTCTATTCAACGAAATGTGAATCCTTGGCAGTACGGTGAATATGTCGGCATCCAGGGGAAACGTCTCAAATTGACAGAATCTTTTACCTCAGGCCCAAGCCACTTGCAATTGTCTCACGAAGTCAAAGTCCCACTCTTAGCTCGGCAGGAGAAGAACGCCATCCGAAGTCCATCTCTCGGCTCAAAATGCAGACATGGTTCTTGAGTATGGAAGCATCGGCTTGGGTGTCTAGGCTCTCGTTTCTTAAATTGACCGCACGCATTATCAGGGGCAGATAATTAAACCAGTCGTATGGAATGGCAGACTCTATTAAGTGGGCTCCTGCACGATCCGCCATCCCCCGCGTTTTTCAATCTCATGACTCTGCATTGTTGCCTCTGGCATCGCTGGCAGGTCGGGACATTTTGGACTCCAACCTACTGACTGCCTTGTCATTATTATTGCGCCTGAAAAAGGCCGATTGACTTCGGGCAGAAGCAAAGATTCCCGAGACCAAATTGTGGAGAGCGGTCCTGACAAGAAAGTGTTGAATTAGTCCGCCTTGGCATGCTAGAACCCCTCATTCGGCAGATACGAGCTCAATCCCAGAGCCGATGCAACCCCATCGCCAGAAGCTGCCATGTTGTAGAAATTGCCAAGGCGAACGTGATTGATTTTGGGGGCCAAGGACCGAAAGGGAAATGGCCATGTTCTGTTTCGCGACGGGGTGCATGGTGTGAGCGTCGATCAGGTCCTGGTTTGTGCTCAATATTCAGTAGCTTATGATCGCGATTCGGCGGTCGGTAGAAACGAGGCCGAAGGTTACGGCTCCCACCGGCAGCACTTGGTGGCTTTGAAAGAAGCTTATTTGGTCTTCAAGTTCTATAATTCATACTTGGCTGATCCCATCCTTTGCTGCTAAGTTTAGTGTCAAAGAACAGCCCGCCTGAGAAAACCCAAGAAGACTGAACCGCAACCAAAAGCCTGTGAACCACTGGTGCCTGTGAACCACTGGTTCAACTCAACATATTGACTTCTTACCCATACTATTTTCAAGCCGATCGGTGTTCACCCCATCTTGGTATTTACGAAAAGTCACCCTTCAAAGATACAATTTGCTACCAAATGTCCGGTCACAACGAAGCTACTCGATAGGTTGTTGGCAGTGATAGTGACATGCTAATCAATAAGACCACACAAGCGGGATGGTATACTATGCTAGGGGAGCTCCCAATGAGTTCCTCTGGGCCGTCAGTGATTCGGAGTTATGTTTGTACTGCACATGTACTTCCGATATGCGTCAAATCCGTAACCCGTTTGGATGGGGACTCTTCAGCGCGACACCATTATGTCCATGCAGCAAATGATTGGGCTGCTCTGCAATTAACCTCTGCGACGACCATGGATCTGATAGTATCATCCTCGAGAATCAGATTTTTTAAGAAAGAAATAAAACGTAACATGAACCTTTGTTTACAGCATTGAGTTGGAGGGTTTCTAAGCTCGTTTATATCGTAACTCAGGCTTTTATCGTCGATCGAAACAAACCAAACAATCCTGCTTCTATCATTGATCGTCATATCACCATTCAAATCACCCTCTCGGTCGTTACAGCACGCACACTCACTCAAAAACGCAAAGACGACTTGCCATTGTGCAGTTATGATTTAGGCCATCGTGATTGCTACATCGCTTGTCGTTGGCGCAACTTTCATTGCGAAAAAGCTTACTCAAATGGCACACTCACTTAAAACAACGGCTGTCGATTTTCCCTTGGGGGAGAGTCCTGTAGCCACAGTCGGATGGGGCTACTACTGTAAGCCCCCTCTCATAAAGTAAAGCCGTCATTCACTAACTGGAGTACAGATGCTGGATCATCAGAGCAGCAGCTTGGTCTGGACCCACGTCTTGTTCTCCAAAACAGAAGGAATCAACAGGTGATGACCTACCGTCGACGGTGTGCTGTCGAAGATGCAAATGCAGACTTCCTCGACAAGTATACCAATATTCATAAAAAGCCCAGAAAAACCCGCGTAAGGTTCTCGAATACGCCTCAATATCACGAGTTTTTCCATCCCGAGGAAGAAAACCGCTTACTAGCATGGATTGATGATCTCCCTGAGGTGGATGTGGAGCGTAAGGCGATAAACGAAAGCGTTCTTCTACCAGAGACGCCTAGGGGTATGAAGACTTCGCTTGGGGTGCAGATCAAGATGTTGAAGAGACCGTCTGATGGTCACCATCCCGCTGGCTCTAAGAGAATGTCCGGGTGATCGTGGACAGGTTAGCGATGGGAATTACAGGAGCGGAAAATATGAGCGTATGAGAATTTGCATTCAAGCCTTGAGCATTCACTACTATGGCATTGTTCTGCGGGAACTGGGACGGAAGTCGAGCGGCTGACTCAATTCCATCTGATTGAGGCAATTTGCGATTCACTTGTCAAGCATGGGAAGAGCGATCAGTCAAATCAAATTACTTAAACGCCTGTATTCTTCCCCACGAGCCAAGAGTTCCTCTCATGTGTCTTTGATCTCTGTAACAATCCAGTTGTTGCCGCCCACGCCACGTTAGCATTTGTTTGTGCCAACGATCCGTCATTGTTAACTGCGAAGAAACAAAGACTTCAGAAGTTAATCCGTCTTTCTCTCACTTAATTCAAAGACAACTGTTCTACGTCCTTGAATTCCCCGCCCAGCACAAATTTGCTTCATTACGCCTCCAACTTCCTGAAATCTTAACCATCTTTCTCCTCTCTACGTCTTGCCCTGGCTGTGACGATGGCATGCTACCGCATTTGTACACCCACGACACCGCGTCGCTCGTGTCTTAAGAAGACGGCTGCTCCAAATCGAGAGTACCGGGGGACCGAGTCTGGGGGCCTGTTTTGTGTGTCTCCCGCCTCCTCGCCCCCTCCTCCTTTTGACCAAGCTGACCCTTTACCTTGCAGATCACGAATCCCGCGAAGCCGAGGAGGGCGTGCCGCGCGCAAGATACCTCGAATACATGCGCAACTGGCAGGTCACAGAGTACGAGCGACGCGTCACAGCCGAGGACGCAAACAGGAGATACTTCCAGTCATCGCGAAGTCACCCGAGAGAACGCAAGCCCTCTGCGGTGCGATTCTTTGGAGAAACAACGTTCATCTACAACCCTAGAAAGTCCATTAGGGAGATCAACATGGCTGGCTACGAGCTCGTCGGAGTGTTCACGTCTCGGATGACGGAAGATGAAGTCATGAAGGCTCGCAGACGCCTCTACAAGCGCCCGGAGGACTTTTGAGACGTTACCCAACAGCGTTGCGGCTGATACATCGTGTATCGCAACTCACATTTCAAAGTGCACTTCCAAGGCGTTTTCAGTGTGGGGTGCTTTAGCTCAGAAAGAGGTCATGTGTGCCGACAAAGCCCCGTCCTCCTTTTGGTCGTTGATGTTACACGATATCAATCGGGCGCGGGAACCGCTAGCCTTCTCCGGCAGATACAAAGGTGGCGATCTCGCACAGCCACTGGCATGTCTCATCCCACGGCGGCGAAGCTGCTGGTTCGTGGAACCAGCCTCGCAGTATGTATACAATGATAGTTTTGCCTCAGGAAGTATTATTGGTTGATCATTGGCATCTCCGGCGAATTATGGTGATGTTTTACGTATTCTTGCAAAGCCTCACGATGATACCGAGAGAGCCTCATCTTACACGTAGGCTTTCCAAGTAGGCTTTCTGTTCGGCCATTTTGGTGGCGAGCTGGATGGGTCTCGTGGGCTTACACACGTGATAGTTGGGCGTAACTATCGTGAATGCCATTGGGCCAAGCCCTCAGCGCCTCATCGTGTGTTTTGCCCTACCATACACCCACGTATTATACGATGCGGGGTAACGGAATCGGCGTGTTCAAAGCAGTCCAGCAAGGTCGAGGGCCATCGTTGTTCTTAAAAGTGGCCCTTAGTTCCCATATTTCTGTATTGCTCGCAGTAAACCAAAGTCGGCACCTTTCTGGCCACAACAACATCAGTCTCATAAACTTGGGGAACTTTAACAGTTCATTACCAGTAACACACATCACCTTACCCAACTGGCTTGATGTCTCAGCTCACCTGGATGGTCAGTCAAAGAACCTTGAACAACGTTACTGTGGCAGCAGCTTGATGTCCGGATCCAATCACAACAGTGAAGAACCCAGTTGGCAGCACATGCATCCGAATGAACATGTTACCGTCAACATACGAACCATTAAATCATAACAGTCTCTCAATGAACACGAGCCTGACATTCAGCGGCCTTCCTACTGACATACATCATTGTATACTGGACTTTCTCAATACAATCGACAGCGCTTGCTTGGGCTTGACCAATCGCCACTTCTATGCGATGCACAGAAAACGGCATGGCTCTGTTTCTCTTTCAGCGAGACAAGGGCGTCGGCCAGCCGACCCATGTCACATATGTCGAGAAGCGTGTGAGCTTCGTCTACATCTGGAAAGATGGGTGCCTCGCGGCATGGAGTACTGTACTATCTCTGAGAAATACGGCCAACCAGCGTCCACTTTTAGCCAGTCATACTGCTCGAAACGCTGCCCGAAGAACTCCTCGCTGTGCGGAAGGCATCATCCTAGAATATGATCTTTTCAAAAACAATCCATTATATCGAGACAAAAAGCATGTCGATAACCATTGGTATCTTTATAGCGGGCGCCCAGCTTAGCAAATCTAAGACGTCGAACGGCAGGTAGAACACACCTGCGAAGGTTGAGGATCATTAAATACAAGTAGAGTTGTGGGAGAAAAGAGAAACATCAGCTTCATAGGTTAATCTCTTGATCCAACTCGCGCATTAAATAGATAGATAGCACTTTATCAAATGCCGTGTCGTACGACAAGCCAACGCTCGCGCGTAAAAACTAATCCATGTACAGGATGCTGCTTGCATGGGCCAAAAGGCGAAAAGGCAAAAAGAATACGCTTGTCAACCGCTGACGGGAATTGAGCCCGACGTGGGGGTCGAACCCACAACCTTGAGATTAAGAGTCTCACGCTCTACCGATTGAGCTAGCCGGGCGGCTGAAGCGCTGCCATTGGCTGAGCGTCGAGGGCTCTGCGATGCCCAAGTTCGGCGAAGCCGGAAGTTGGCCGAGCGTGGTTAAGATCGACCCGTCTCTCAAAAACTCTCCAAAGTTGCCGGCGGACAAACTCGGTAGGGGTGACTGAAAGCGCCATGCATCATTCGATAAGGCAGGGTCTACGAGTTGGGGTGCGGACGCACCATCTCTTGTAGATATGCTGGGCTGCCACAAGTATTTTTAGATTGTGTTTGAGAACCGACAAAAATCACAACGGTTTAGGACCGAACCAACCTCTGGCATCACGAAAGTCTGTTGTTTGTACTGTCTCAATTTTTTTTTGGCAGACCTGCTTTTGGTCCTTTGTTGATAGCTGCTGAAACTGACGCAAGACATGGTCAGGCCGATGAGCTTTTGGGAAACATCCCATTGAAGAGAAGATCCATCGTCATTTGAGTCATTTTCGATTGGTTTCATGCCTTTCGACATATGAACATTTGTAGCGTTGAACAAGGAGCAGACTAGGTGCGGGATTTGTTTGGTCAGATGCATGATCTATCATTTGATGTTGACAAGGCTATGTACCAAACCCCACTCAATCACGAGTTCTTCATTTCTCACTTCTGTAGTCCAGATAGGTTTCAGCTTCAATCAGACACTGTTCAGTCCATGCTCAAGATTCCTTCTGACTCTGTGGCTTCCTAAAGGGAACTGAGAAGGGAGTTCAGGGTCTCGTTATCCTTCGCTATTCTTTGTTTCCGCTGGCTTCTTCATTATCGTCTTTGTCGCCGTCATTTCTACTGTCATTTCATTACCCATTTTGTTTTATCTCTTTAAGTATCGAAACGTCTCAACACAAACTCAAAGGCAGATTTGTCAAGGGATGTGGAATGTTTGACTCTTCGTGTAAACTTTGGCAGATAAGGGACTTCGTTCTTATGGCTTCTGCCAACCTCTACTACACTACCGCCTTAACCAGGCTAATATAGACATGCAAAAAGAAGAAACAAAAGAGAAGCCCTATATCAAATGGAGATACACTGGTTCAGAGCCATGAGATATCCATATGAGAACGTGAGCTTGAAGTATCAATCTTATGATTCTTTACACCACTGTGAGAAGACGACTCAGGCAACTCAGACAGTCATCACTCGCATTTCCTCTCCCATTTCAAATGGAATCCCATGCTGCTATCTGACTTTGCCGTCTTGGTGGGGCTGGTTGCCTCTGCCTGCCACTGCAAGTAGGGTTTGAGACAGAATTGTGACCATAAATTACTGACACCAAACAATCGCATCTATAGCATGTTCTAGACGTATTTAGAGAGAAGCATTACAGGGAGATTGGGCAAGTTCCCCAGATCTCATACATACTTTCAAACAAAGCCACCATCTGTAGCAATGTTTTGCGAAATCCATCTTGGCGAAGCCCCAGACAAAACCGTAGAGTGTACTACATTCTCGGGCACCAGTTCCCTTAACTTCACAGTTGCGGTGGGCCTCCGCACCTTGGTCTATATCAGTCACCTATCCCGCCATCATCTAACTCGCATTGGACTGGTCATTCTCTCTGCGAGCAACTGAGTCTACTGGAAGCCATTACAAAATCACGTCCTCTTGGCCTGCTTCTCTAGTCTACGAAATCCACGCGCTATTCTTTTTGCAATCATTCTGTCAAATGGCCTCGCCTAAGGGCTCATGCTCTTTTGAGATGATCCCCTCGTTACCTGAATGGCGCAACAAAACACCTGCCGCGGCCCTCTTGGCACCCAGCCCCGGCGCGACAGACCCTCAAATGGTGGCTTGTTGCTACCCAAACCCAGTGCACATCCACAACAACTGCTCTCAGTGGTGTGAAATACCGCCCCAGTACCTCTTCACCCCGGCAAACCCTATTCTGTCCCAATGGATCTTCAGGGAAATTTGTCTGTTGACCAACGGACAAAATCTGACCGTCCTTCAAGAGGGATTTTCCATCATTGATTACAACTTCGATGACCAAGAGAGCCAAGAGAATATGGCCTCGGAGTTTAAGATTGGTGTCCTTGGAGTGTTTTTGGTCTTCCTCGTCGTGTTGTCGATTGTCGGGACGCTTGACTCTATCATTTGAGAGGGAAATCTATGATGATGTACTACTAGACTTGGAGAACAACATCTGAGGTCTAATGTTTTAACAGATGGCCTTACCACAAGTGCTATACGTCCTCAGATTAGAATGCATTACATCTATTGGAAACCCTGATGCATGTCTCCATTTAAATGAGTGGCATATGCGTATCGCGATTGTTGGTGAATCCTGATCGATGACCAGAGATTTCAGGCATATTAGTGCGCGCTTGATTCTAACAAGTCTTTGACTAGGTTGATTTTTCACGCCCAAGTAGATTGCATTTTAGGCGCCATCAATGTCGCATTGTTGCTGCGTAGACGGGGTCAATTCTGCCTGTACAATGGTTAGCTCGGACACCGTTGATTGAACGCGCCTTCCTCTCTTGGGAGCAATTGCAAATACAGCTTGCCATTTTGATCAGGCATGTAACTCAATACTCGCGGAAGTCTGCATTGACATGAGTTTCCTTTTCCCTCTATATCGGCGCGAATGCATCGAAATGTGTCTTGGTCAAGCAGATGTGGTAGAGTCAATCAAGATGTTAACAGTAGACTTTATGACTAAAAGGAACATGAGGACCCTTCTTTTCCTCCACCCCAACCCAGGCTAGTCTTCTTGACCACCACATCGTGACTTAGATGAGGGTTTCCGATGGACTCGTCATTCTGGCATCGTTTACATGCTTCGAGCGCTTGGCGCGCGCGTAGACGACCGTCGCCTTTCCCTCTCCAGGACACCGACGATCGATATCGAATACACCGGTAGCAATGACCAAATCGCTAAGCTTGAGATATCCGAAACTGCGTGGATCGAAATCCGGAAACTGCCTGGTGATGTGTCCGCCCACGTTGGCCAGATTGGCCCATCCCCCGTCGTCCGACGCAGCCTCGACCGCCATTCGCAACAGTCTCTTCAGGCGGATGTCACTCTTGACCGTCGTTGAAGAACCTTCTTTGTTGAGTGGTTCAACAATGGAGGCCCTTTCTTGTGGCACTGCAAGCTGCTCGTCGTAGGCAAGGTTCTCGAAGTAGATGAACTTATCGCATGCTGAGACGAAGGGCTTGGGCGTTTTATGCTCCCCGAAGCCGTATACGACCAGACCGGACTCGCGGATGCGCGCTGCTAGCCGTGTGAAATCGCTGTCGCTGGACACGAGACAGAAACCATCGAAGCGGTTCGTATAGAGTAGGTCCATAGCATCAATTATCATAGCGGAGTCCGTCGCGTTCTTTCCCTGGGTGTACGCAAACTGCTGAACAGGCTGAATCGACTGTGTGAGGAGCTGGTTTTTCCAGCCCTTGAGGCTGGTGCCGGTCCAATCACCATAGGCCCGTCGCACAAAGGCGGTGCCATATTTGGCGACTTCAGCGAGCAGAGCGGGGGCCGCAGTAGGCTGGGCATTATCGGCGTCGATGAGGACGGCGAGCTTGGCAGTCGTCTCCATGGTCATTATGTGTTCGGTCGACCCATTCGCAGGAAGGCGACGCCGCTGCGAATACTTAAGGATACTCGGTTGGACCCTGGTGATGAGGTGTCAGCGGATTACCTCTCCGGAATTCCGACAGCACACGAGGCGCCAGATTAGCTTTTGGATCCCACCAGCTTAGTCAGGTGACATCTGGGAAGGCGAAAGTTTGGCGGGCCAGCTTCACTGTCGCTTAAGTCCTCTCCAGCAGCTCTGTGCTTTGCATACTGCACGTTCACGTGGAAACATATGGCTATACTTAGGGACTTTCTGCGCAACCAGCTTGAGAACAAATGTTGAAAAATATCAAAGTGCTCTACCTATCCAACCGCACCAGCTGCAGAATAATTCAAATAAGACTTCAAACGCCGGCCATTCTGCAAACCGGATCTTCATCACTTGATCTTCTGTGCTTTTGCGTCACACACTCTTCTTCTGAGTTTGGGTGCACATGCGCGTCCAGATGTATCTCAAAATCGGCCAGACCAAGAACCCTGAAAGCAGCCCAAGGATAGAGTCAACGAAGCCAAAGCCCCTCTTGGGTGATGAGCCAACCATGTTGCTCCACAGAACCTCCGTGTCGAAGTCACTGACGAGAGCAAAATCTCCCTTTGCCACCCCTCTGACAATGTACTCTGCGACATACTCAGCCGAAAGCATCTTCGTCTTAAGCTTCTCAATAGGGCCATCAGACGACTCGATACGCTTGGTAAGATCTGGCTTGGTCTTCTGCTCGTCTAGAAACGCATCCGTCATAAAGGTATTCGGGAAAGCGCAGTGCACCTTGTACTGGCAGGTTGCAGTAGAGTAGATGGCGGCTTCTTGGCGGAGGGTGTCAGCGAGTGCCCGTTGGGCACATTTAGGGGCTGTTGATAGCACACATGTGAGCAACTCAAGAAGAGATTAACGGATTGAATGCTCGCGCACCTGCATAAGCAATATAGCCAGGAACATTGCAGAGGGCAGCTGCACTGCTAATGAAGATAAGCTGCCGCGTCTTCTGTCCCTCGTTTCCAGAGCTCTTCTTGTCCTCGTCGATCCACAGTTTGAGAAGCGAATGAGCTGGGAAAGCGCTTGTTAGGTAGTTGTTTTGCATGCATTGCTCAAGCTGCTGGCTAGAGAGGTCTGTGAAGAAGCCAAGTTGGGAAACGCAACCCCCAGCGACACAATACAGCGCATCGGGAGTGCGGGGTTGCTCTCTGAAGACCTTATCGACCTGCTGGACGTATGAGAAAAGGTCTTTGATATCTTTGCAATTTTTTGAACTTTCCTGCGCCGCATTCATGAGATCAAGCGAGACGGCAATGATCTCTTGCTTCGGGCTGATAGCGAGCTGCAAGAGCTCCTGTCGGGTTTGTTGCAACACTTGGAGCCTGCGACCAAATATCGTAACGTGAGCGCCTGTAATTCTTATTAGAAAAATACTCGAGTTGTTACGGCATTACCATACCCCGTGCGACAAGGATCTCGGCGATCGACTTGCCGAGTCCAGTCGATCCTCCCGCGATGAACACAACCTAGGTAACATTGGTCAGAAGTCAGAAAGTCAGCCAAAGAGTCTTGACATACTTTGCCGGTGAAGTTCTGCATGGTGATCTCTGTTGACTTGATGGTGATATATCAGAAATAGCAGGTTGAAGTAGGGGGTCTTCACCTTAATTTATTGTTGTTGCCCTTTCACGTCCTCGTAGACGCTTAGTGGTGATGGCGGATACCGGGATCCGGTCGCGTCAGCCCCGGCTTTCCGGGAATGGGGCCCGATCCTCCGCGACGATTCCCTGCTCCGGCGGCTGCTTGTCCGGACAGCAATGCAAAATTTGAATGATTGTTCCTTCCGTCCTTTTTTTCGAGGAGTTGGTTCGCTTTTGACCGAGCACAGCACCAGGTTCATTCACCAGACTGTACTCGCGCACCGGGCAGATACGACCTGCAACCCACAAAACTTGCAACCCGGCGCTCGCATTCCACTAGAAGCAAGTAAATATACGTCTTATGTGGGTCTATGCATGGCAGATTGCCCAGAAGTCTTCTCAAAGAAAATAAATCCAACGATATTGGTGTAGTGTTCCGGAGGACGAGTCAGCGACTGCAATACACTTTTCAGCGAGCGAGATGGTCGTAGGTTATCGCAGTGCACCATTCTTATCCCAAAGACTCACAAACTATCACATCCCCAATTGCTCGATCATGCACTGGAGTCAATTCGCTATGAGAAACTGCCTGGCCACGAAGTCTCATCCTCACCAGACCGTTGATCAATTGCGTTGAGATGGGAACTCTCCGCTCCCCAGACTCCACGATGTGGCTTTCTTAGATCAAACTCGCCATGCTTTCTGTAATAATTCGAGAACTGGGTGATTCATCTCATAGCATTATCACCACCCTAATAGCGGCATGAGTCTGTGACACTATAACCCTCGGTTGAATTTCGTACTCTTCGCATTCCTTATTCACACACAAGGCAAATCACAAGTAACGGCGAACACCATACGTTTAGGTTAATGAATTTGAATTCCACACACAAGACATTCTAATATTTTAAATGGATAAAATGATCCTCGCGAAAGAAAATAATGTACTGCGCGTCATATCAAACCTCACTCGACGGAGTACTGATCAAAGCGAGGAGTCAGGGACGTAATCTTGTACACCTGCTGAGCCGCTGTCGGCAGCGCACCCTCCTTCCCACTCTTCTTGATGTCCAACATCTCCTTTGCCCACTCGCAGATAGCACTGGCAAGTCCAACGACCTGTTCTTCGGTGAGGCTGGCGTGAAATGCGATGCGAACGCGGTTGGTACCCTTTGGCACTGCAGGGGGGTCAACGGGGAAAGCCCAGAAGCGCAGAAGCTGGAGGTGAATGGAGAGGAAGTAGTTGTGACGTGGCTCTGTGAGAACTGCAACGATGTGGGAAAGAATGGGCTGTGCTTCCCACTCCTCGGCCAGAGGAATGTCAATAATTCCAGCGTCACGGACATCCTTGTAGTATTGATTGTCAGTGATTGACTTGTAGAAAAGCCGAATGTGTTCCTGAAGTCGCATACGAGACTTTCGTCCGTTAGTCAGGTTGCAAAGCTCCGATACCAACAGTTTCTGAGCACTTACCGGTTCTGTCTTCCCATCTGCGAGGAGTCGGTAAGCTGCTTTAATAGCGGCCAGGGTAGGGAATGATGCTGCTGTGGTGAAGCAGATGGGCCGGGCGTGGTTCACCAACATGGTCCGGATGGTATCGTTGCAGAGTACGGCAGCTACGCTCAAGAATCAGACATGAGCCTTCGAATGGCGGCTGGAGATTACTTACCACCAGAAGCCCCCAACGCTTTAGAAAAGGTATGCAGCCGAATAGCAATCTCTCCCTGGAGGCCCAGTGCGGAAACAAGTCCGACTCCCTTATCACCAACGACTCCAGTAGCATGCGCTTCATCGACGATGAATTGGAAGTTTCCCTTTGGTAACACCTCCTTTGCGGCCTCAACCATTTCCTTCAACGGGCATACGTCACCGTCCATGCTGTAGACCGTTTCAACGGCGATGAGCACAACGCGTTGTCCTCGCTGAATCAGTGGCTCAGACTCATGCACCATCTCCAAAACCTCACGGAAAGAGTCGACGCAGTTGTGGCTGAAGGAAACCTTGACCTTAGCCATGCAGCGCGACATACCCTCGTGGGCGCTGGCATGCACGAGCTCGTCGAAGACAATTGCATCGCCTGGGCGGGGGATGGATGAGAAGATTGCCGAGTTACCTTCGAAGCCGGAGTTAACGATGAGAGAACGCTCAGCGCCGTGGAAAGTAGCGATTTCATCCTCGAGATCCTCGAAATAATCGCTGTTGCCGTCTAGGAGACGAGAGCCAGTGCTGCCAACAGTGAAGTTGGGGTATCGATGAAGCTCTTCGAGGAAAGCCTCACGAAGCTGTCCGGATGTAGCGAGAGAGAGAAAGTCATTTGAAGAAAAGTCAATGTTGTCTTTGCGTTTTCGCAGAGTAATGAGATTATGCTGGCTTCGTCGCATGTCGAGAGCTTCTTCAAGGTTGCGGTAAAAGACGTCCTTCATCTTAGGAGCTCGAAGCTCTTGCGCTTGATTCCATTGCGCGATTTGCGTGAAGACCGACTCGTCTGCTGTGGAGTTCATTTTGTAGACGATTATTTCAAGGAGTACAAACTGTAATTGAAAGAGGAGTAAGATTGCAATGGCTGATGGTGTTGGCTTCTCGTCTCAACTTCCCGTGAAAAGGTGGCTTTATATGGACGCCTGATGCTGCAATCCCTTTCTTATCCATAGGTAAGCTAGGAAGTCTTCAGTCCGGGCGTCGGTGCTTGGAATCCGTTCACCGGACTCCGATATCCATGATGGCAATTTTGGGCCGAGTTGTCGGGGTCGCCGTTCTTTCAGTTAGCGTAACGAGCCGGGATTCCTGGGCTGACTGCACCTCTGTCTGGATGCTTGACACGCTCATGGTGAAATGTATTGCTGGTGCTATCTCCGCTTGACCTGCATCTCGGCCCTGGCCGAATGAGGCACCGGGTAAGCATGACTCTCTTTTCTGCACAGATAAATCTGAGTGAAAAAGCAGAAGCGCGGCAAAGCCCATTTTCAATAGGATACTGATATCCTCAGCGTACAACTCCAAGAGAATCTCATCATAGCTAACTGTTACATGATCTTCGCGAATTCATCTCTGAACAATGTTTTGCTGGCTGCTAGTAGTCGCATCGGCTCGGGTCGAGGAGGTTACACGATGAATATGGTCAAGTTTCGCTATTCGGGGGAGATCGCTGGCTATCCGGGCGGATAATTGATGGTAATAAGAGAACACCAACGACGACAGCAAAAATATGATGAATCTAGATGACGATTTACTCAGGAAAGGTGGGGTTCCGCTGATTTACGATAGATTTGAGGAATGTGACTATCAAGTGTCTGACTTTGACGCAACCGGGTGACGCTCCGAAACTGGCATGTGCGAATGACCAGGCACAACTTCGCAAACTCTAGTTCGCAAAATCATAAACTAAACGAGCCGTAACACTCTTCCCGTTCTTCTCAGTAGTGCTAGACTGAGTCAGACGTCTCTGAGAGTCAACATCCTCCAATGCCCAAGTGGTCAACGTCGACCAAGCGCCCTTCTTGCTGGTGCTAAACTCCTCAATAACCTCAGTCACCCCAGACTCCCGAAGCCGCCGACCAAGGTCGCCGCATTGAACCTTGTCAATCGAAACGAATTTGACGTTTGTGACCAGAGCTCCAAAAGCCTGCGTCTTTTGGTCGCGATCCACGCCGTCGAGAACATAGTTATCCTCACTCTTAAAGTTGCCGGGGGTCACTGTCTGTTCCTGGTGGATACTGAAGATTGGGTCGTCGCCGGAATCCTCGGATGTCAAGGAGTTCTGCGTGATGGAAAGGCTGATTCCGCCGCTGGTGAGGACCTTACGAGTGATCCAGCTCAGACCTTGCTACAGTTAGGCAGAGGTTAGGATGGCTTTCGGACGGACGCGAGCATTGGTTGCCTACCATAGCCAAAGTGTCTGACAAATCATCCGAGAGCGATCTGTTCTTTGTATCCTATTAGACCACAATCACGGTACCAGTCAAATGGGGTTTGGCATACCACAATCCAAGTACCGTTCAAGTCGCGGATTGTCTTGGTTCCAGGAGCTGCCATGTTTGTGGGACTTTATGAATCGGAAGACGGGGGGATGACGAATAAGTTGGCTTGTTTAGATGATAAGTGAAATCCGTTACAAGCTGTTCCTGAAAGATCTTACGATGGGAATATTTATCAAAACCTGGCGTTCATGCCGGGAGGATGCATCCCGAATGCAGGCACACTACGCAGTCTACCACACGGTGTACTGCAGAACGCCTCCATGGTCAGCTGGGTTCAGCGGCTCGGAGTCCGACAGCTCGAACGATCAAATCCTACAAGGTTTTCCTTGCATGCGATCCGCGACGAAATAACAGCTTATACCCGACCGCTGTCCGCGTTCCGACGGGGTAAAACAGTAGTTTCCCGGAACGGGGCCCGGATTCCGGACTCCACTACAACCGGGGCAGTCCGCTCTCGAACGTTGATCGAAAGATGATCAAACTGCTTTTTCTCGCCTCGTCGAAAGGGTCGATTGTGCAATTGACGTTCTAGGCGTCTTTTAAGGGACCAGCAGGCTTGCTTGGAGCATCAATGTTCTCCATTATGTCCATCATATTCAATTCCTCAACCCAGCACCAACTTAGTCATCATGGAATCTGCATCTTCGTCAAAATTCGAAATTCTTCAGGAGCCCAAGATGTCTTGGTTTCAGTGGGCACTTCGGCTTCTGTTTAGGAAAAAGCCAACATATCAGGAGATGCTCAATGGCATCGTCCCCATCCCTGGCCCTCCCCGTAAGAACAATTCTGGTAATCTGCTATGATCCGTATTGACCATGTCTAGCCATACCCCTGATAGGTAGTGTGCTGGATGTCGATATCAATGACACCCTAAAGTCCGTGATAGATCTTATGAGAGACTATGGTATTTTCGTCCCTGAGATTACGTTCGAGACCGAAGCTGAATTCACAAATCACAGGACCCATCATTCAGCTTTATACT